AGCATGGATCCAACAGCGAAGAAGCCGGTCGCTGAGAAGAAGTCGGCCGCTGAGAAGAAGGCAGCCCCTGAGAAGAAGCCGGTCGCTGACAAGAAGTCCGCCGCTGAGAAGAAGGCAGCCCCTGAGAAGAAGGCAGCCCCTGAGAAGAAATCAGCCGCAGAGAAGCCAACGGAAGAAACCGAGAAGGCTAAAGCTGCGGAGCGAGCTCCCGCCGGCAAGAAACTGCCGGCGGGCAAACGCGGAGAAACGACTTCCAGTATCAAAAGACGACACGTCTTCCAGCAGAATGAAGAAGAAAAAGGCCAAGAAGGGAACCAAGTCTTACAAGACCTACATCTTCAAGGTCTTGAAGCAGGACTGCCCCAACATTGGCGTATCCACCAAGGCGATGAGCATAATGAACTCATTCGTCAATGATGTATTTGAGAAGATCGCTCAGGAGGCATCTCGCCTCTATCGCTATAACAAGAAGCCGACCATTACGTCCAGGGAGATCCAGACCTCTGTTCGACTTGTTTTGCCCGGGGAGATTGCTAAGCATGCTGTTTCTGAAGGCACCAAGGCAGTTTCCAAATTCACAAGTTCATAGACTCGGTTCTTCTATCTCTCTTCGCTCTTTTTTTTGTTGGTCTGTTAAGGTTAGGGCTAAGTTTGAATTCCTTTAATTGATTGATCTAGCTTTCTTTTTAGGAATGTAATTAGTAGGAAAGTATGATGGATTTTCTTGGATTCTAATTGAGAATCAGGTTTTCTCAAGAAATAAAGCATTTTTTTTCTGCTTTGTATTGGGACGCAATTTAAAAATATATGTGCTGCTGTTTTTTTTTTAATCAAGAACAATCAAGCTTCTTCATATTTTTTTCTCCTCTTTCTCTTGTTCAAGAAACCTTCAAGATTTCACAAGGGTTAGTGCAAATGGTAAACAAGTTCTGTTGACGATACTAGGAAATATATTTTTTATGAAGATAATGATGCATGATAGTCTCTGAATCAAATAATGGTGAATGATGATCTATGCATATCATTTTCATGAATTCCAAACCATTCAATATCAAATTACATAAGTAGGATAGTAACAAATTGGGAATCATATCCATTGGAATAAGCAAAAAGATGAGATTTGCTCTCGAAAGAATATGAAGTAAATAAAAAAGAACTATGAATTTAAATAGTCATCAGTCATCAAAGACGTATTTGTGCGATGCGGCAAAAGCGAGAGAGAGGCGGGCTGAATTTGGGGCTTCATGACCTACCTTCCGGTGCGGTGCCTTACTGTGCGAGAGACAAGAGATGGCAGGGGAAGGAAGAAATGAAGAGAGAGCAAGAGTCGGAGACGACAAACAGAAACAACATGGAAGACAGAGGTAAGATGATCGTCAAAGATCACCGGGGGATCGCCTGAATCCTATCCTCTCTGAAGCTGGGGTAGGGCTCATAGTGCTGGGAAGTTAGGCGGGGATCATAATCGCTGAAAGGGCAAGAGCATAACTTGCAAGAGGAGAAATGCGGGCTGCGGGGTGGAACCCGCTACCCGCGTTTTGCTTAACTGCGGCAGCGCTGCGGCGAAACTCCGCCTCAAATGGGGTAGATTCAAGGGAGGGCGACGCGTCGAGCATAATGGTTCTAGTTTTCAGTGGATCAAATCCTCTTCAATGATAATATCGCAATTTAATTGAAATTAATTCACATAAAATTTTGAGGGAATTATATACATAACTTATAATTTGATGTATTTACATATTTAACATTTAAAATTTGATATTTAATTAAATAATATTTTAGTGTCATAATTATATCAAAACATATGCGGAAAATGTGGATCAGACTTTTGAAAATTTAATATTATTGATATCTAAATTTTTTAAATATAGTATTAATTGGATGTAGATGTATCTAGAGGTGAGCATTCAGTCGATTTGGATGGATCGGCTTTAATTGATTACAACCAAAATTCATAATCCAAAAAACTCAACCAATCTAAATTTTGATGATACCGAACAGATCGAATCGAAATTTGATTCAGTTTAAACAATTCGATTATTAAAATACTGAAATTTAATTGTTTATTAAAATTTAGCTAAGAACAAACATTACAAATTACATAAATTATCTATATAATATTGGTTTGATTTCATGAATCCTCTATTTATATCAATCAAACATTAAATATAATAAAAAATGTAATTTTCTTAGTTTATTTCACATGAAATTAAAATATAATAAACTTTTTTAATGAAATATTAGTTTTTCTGTTTATTCAATTAAATGAAAATTATAACCAGACCACCGGAAGACAAAAACAAAATATTGAAGTTTTAAAAATTGAAAATCAATTTTTTAAAACAGAACCGAATCAACTAAACGTGATCGATTTGGTTTTCCAATTTTGACCAAGTAATGCACACCTCAAAATATTAAAAATGCATGAATAGTTGGAAGTAAATCTACCTCAAAATATTATAGAAGTTAATCATATTAACTCCAGACAGTTGCAGGTTGTGCCTAATATTCTATTTTACGGGAGTAAGTTAAGACTGTGCTTTGCTCCTTTGCATCTCAAGATAAAAAAAATTTCTAAGGGAAATACAAAATTTAATAAAAAAATTTATTATAGAGAGAAATCCTCGATCAGCATCTCAAAGGACTTTAAGCTAGTATAAGGGTTAGGAATGTGGATTGTTATGAAATTTTAGGAGTACATGTAACATTGCACTTCTCTAGACAAAAATGTACATTTGCTATTTTTTTCTTGATAATAATATTCCTTTAGTCCTTGAGTTTATCTTTTCTTTCAATTGCTCCAATATTCTTGCCTCCTTTGGTTATGTCTACAAATTTCATAAGTTTATCTTAGATTTTATTCATTTTTAATTGAAATGAGATAAATTAATAGACTAATTCACAAATAAACTCATTGATCATGGATTTCTTATCTCGATGCAGATTTATGATATCAGAGGAAATTGTGAGTAGCGACAAGAAAAGGATAAATAAACTCATTGATCATGGATTTCTTATCTATCAGAGGAAATTGTGAGTAGCGACAAGAAAAGGAGTATGTGGTTGAGCTGAAAACTCACCAAATTTTGTGGACAGAATTCAAGTAAGACAATATGAGGTATAAACAGGAATCAATAAGCCGTGTGTATTCTGAACCAACGGTTAGGGGATCTCCATTGAAGGATTTACAATGGATTTGAAGATCTATAAGAATATTGTTAGGATTGTGAAAGAGCAGATTTGCATCCTCTAAAACTTATAAATTATAATATGTCTCTACCAAAGAACGATATTTTTACTTGAGCAAGCCTGAGAAAAATTTTCAAATTGCAAAGGTCATTGAGATTAAATTGTGAGTGCAACGAGTTCTTGGTTAGATTGATCACTTAATTTAATAAATATGTAATAATGATATAGTCGTCATAAGCTAATAGTGCTATTAAGTTAGGACCAGCATTTTTTGTGAATACAAAGTAATTAGGTTCTGATTGAATGACGCCAAACTTGATAAGAAATTAGAAAAACTAGGAATACCATTATCTAGATGCTTATTTAAGCCCATATATAAATTTATGGGGATAACAAAAAAATTCTCTCATACAGAAATTGTTATAGACATTGGCATTGAAAATATGTAGTGCTTTTCTTAAGAAAAAAGTTTGGAGGTATAATATAAATTACACGTATTTATTTAAATAAAATTAAAAGGTAAGATGCTTTTTATAAGTATTTTTTGGCGCAGTGGATAATTATAAGAGTGGCGATGATAAATATAAAATGATTATATTAAAAATATAATCATATCATGATTGTAAACATGCAATATTCGTAATATGATTTTGCCATGAGGAGATTGAATCAGCTCAATAAAAAAGAAGCTACAAATACAAATAAAAAGGATTACTCATCCATGCTCACGAAAGAATATAGTATCAATACAGAAAACAAATTTCAATTCTTTCAAAACAAATTTCAAATCTTTCGAAACAAATTTCAAATCTTTCAAAATAAAACAAAGTTATATACAGTTGTTATCTCCAGAACTCAGTTTCCAGGGTTTATTAATTTAGTAGAAAACTTTGATTCGTTTGGCGATTCTCTTCAAGAAAAATTTCATGGAAAATCAACTCCAGCAAGATTTTTGTAAAATTAGAACGTTTCAATAGGTCTGCTAAAATTAACATTCAGATCATAAATGAGTCAGCAGTAGTCAAACTGAAGTTCGCAAGTGCGAGCGGTGCAAGAGAAAGAACCAGGAACAGCTGGATCGCCAAGACTGCTCATGATTAGCACATAGTTTTGTTGGCCTTATCAACACTGCTTTGGCTGCTGCAACAGAGAAAAAATTAAATTTGATTAATTGATTATAGCTAATATGTAGTCAGGATATCCCAACCAAAAATTTTTTTCTGATATTAAATGCATTAACAACTCACTTAAGCACAAGGGCGCCGATCATGCAACCCAGTGATAGCAACCCCTGCGCGTCGTAAATCAGCATCAAATACGGGTTTTGGTGGTTCGAGCCCGTTAACTTGGAAATCTGCATGATCCTCATGTAAGCCGATATCTCCATTAGGCTGGACCATTTCACCAAAATAATTCATCCCATAGGAATGGTAAGTGTACTGCGCTCCAAGCTGCAGCTGTAAGGATGAACTTTGACCCAAACAATTGAAGGATTCCTCCTGCCTATGCTTGCTATACACTTCTTGCATTTCATCGACGAAGTAGCCGTTGTAGCCTTGATGCGATGTTCCAGTGGAGTACAAGTTGATCCTAAAATATATAATGAGTAATTACAGATGTGGTCACAGATGAATGAAGTTGGATCACGTAAGGAAAAATAATTTGGGTAGAGTTTTAAAGAGTATTGATTCCAATATAAAATTCACAATTTAATTGGGACGAAATTAACTTTGAAAATAAAAGTTGAATGCAATATCATGCGACTCAGATCAAAATTATTTCGATAACTTTAAAAGCCATTCAAATGTTGGCACGAATGCAAAATACAAAGCTAACCAGTGTGCGAATGATGATATGAATTATTACATACATATATATATATATATGTATATGTATATATATGTATATATGTATATGTATATATATGTATATATGTATATGTATATATATGTATATATGTATATGTATATATATGTATATATGTATATGGCCTTAGATGAGGATGAAATATAGACAGACACACACATTTATGCTATTTGTTATTGCCTGCATCCTCATCTAAGGCCGAATATCACTAAAGATTAGCCACATACTATCTTTGCTGAGAAGGTACAATCCGATCCTCTTTCCAACATCGCAGTTCCAGATGAAGAACATCATACTACAGGTACAGATCTAAATGTGTTGATATCACTCACTGTTATTGAGAAAGACCCACTTACATGCTAAGACACAAGAAAGTGCTTCAATCAGATAAAAGATTAGTTGTTACAACAAGTACTTGCTTCTATCGTTCAACAACTTGCACATATCCTGCACACTTCAAAACATTCCGCTGCTCAGGTGAGCCAATCTTTGGATGAGAAATGACATGTCTATACGAGGAGGAAGAAGAAGAACAGAAGACGACTCAAGCTCGGGAATTTATTGAATGATACATTGGTAACTACTGACAATGACACTCATCTTACCAATTTATTAGTTGGCTCCTTTCCTAGAACTAGAGGCAGAGGCAAGGCAAAATTGGGTCGCTCTCCAACTACTTGATACTCCGTATTTGACACTTTTTTGTTTTTTCTTTAGGTCTCTTATGTGTTTTATTGTATTTTTTTTTTTTTGGAACCATTTGATATGGTGGTTATTGTGTGGGCAGGGCGTCATGTTTGAGACCTCCCACAAAATCTATCTGTACCCTACTTTTTATTTAATTTATTAGCCTTTGGGCTTTCTCATAAAAAAATATATATATAAACACACACACACCCCAAAAGCAATACATATTAACATATATTGGTATAATTAATATATATTAAATCTTAAATTATGATACGATCCAACATTAAAATCAATACGTTTTTCCACAGAAATTAGGACAAATTAATATTTTTTTCAATAATACAAACAACTTAACAAGAATACAAAACATGAGCATCTATAATTCGAGAGGTAGGAGATCTATCCCTATTCCTACAATTCGAGTGCTAGGAAATCTCTCCTAAATCCTGAACCTAAGACATACAAAAGTCAAAATTGCCCATAGGCTATGCACCGACGTAACAATACTCCCCCTCAAGGGATATCTTGTCATCAAGGTGAGAAAAAGTGAGAGCATTTCTTCTCCACCATAGTAGTGTCGATTTCACCGATTAAAATTAGCTCCCACGAACCACTAAGCAAAATCATCCACTGTACATATTGATATGTATTGATTAATTTTTATTTTTTGTAATAGTTGTACCGATCTATAAAACTACATCTATGTTGCAGATTTGAGAGTTTGTATGTACAACAAACAATATCCAGGACGAAAAAGACTCAAAGATGAGTTCTTAAATGAAGATGAGGAATTAGTGTAGGTGTCATCAGAGTTGCCCATCTATCATTAAAAGGGTAAATTTCGATGTGCTTGTGCAAAACATAAAAATCAAGCGTTTCTACCAACTGAAGAAGTTATGTTAGATCTTTACCGCAAATGATTCAAACCTAATTATTTCTACTGGACTGCCATGGTGAGCAGGAACTGAAGTTCAATTCGAGAAAGGAGATGCCTCGACAAGTTATGTCCCTCCTACAGAGGAATTTGATCTTGACATATATGAAGAAATAATTCATGATGCTCAAAGAGCTCAATTTGTTGAGAGCGTTCAACACAAACCTGAAACACTGAACAACGAATCACAATAGTTTTATGACTTGCTGAATGTTGCACAACAACCTTTATGGAATTGTTGCACAACACATACAGAGTTATCAGTGGCGATGAGAATGTTGACTATCAATATGATTTTAACATGCCCAGAGAAACAGTCATCTGGTGACGACATTATTAAAAAAGACGAACCCTGCATTAAATTTAGTGTCAGATGACTAGTACAAAACTAAAAAGTTGGTTTCAAAATTAGGCTTATAATGTTAAAAGATCCATTGTTGTGTTAATGATTGTATGAAATATTAAAAGGCCGGTACAGTCGATACAACTTGCCAATTTTGTGGTGCAGATAGATTCAAGCAAATATGGAAAAAGAGTAAAAATCAGAAAAATACTCCATAAAAGCATCTCTTTTATTTCTGTTCATACCCCAGCTTTAGAAATTGTTCGCTTCCATGCGTACAACTCCTTACATGACTTTGACACAACACTGAATACATTAATGCTAGCTCGATGAGTCATCTGTCACATGGTGAGGCCTGAAGACATTTTGATCGTACTTATTTGAACTTTGCAGTTGAAGCACACAATGTTAGACTTAGGTTATGTGCAGATGGCTTCACCTCGTACGGTCACGCTGCAACCCCGCTCTCATGCTAACCAGTGATAATTCTGTTTTACAATTTGCCCTTTGATATGTGCATGATCGTGTTGTTTTTATTTTTGATGTTGATCATACCAGGTCCACATAGCTCAAAGGAGAAATCGACATCTACTTACAACCTTTAATTTGAGGAGCTTCATATGTTATGGGTGGGTGTGCTTACATATGACATCGCTATGAATAAAATTTTCAACTGAGAACTGCTCTTATATGGTCAATTAGTGATTTTTCGGCCTATGGGATGCTAGCTGGTTGGAGCACAACCAAAAAATTGGTTTGTCCTTACTGTATGGATATGTCGAAGACATTTACTTGGAAACATGGTAGGAAAAATAGTTGGTTCGACTGCCACCAAAAACCTCTTCACTGTGACCACCCATTTAGATCAGTGAAGTACCGAAGGATTACTCGGGTTGAAATATTGCAGATGATCAGTGAAGTACCGAAGATCACTAAGAGATCGGAGTTGGCTTCAACTCGTCTTTCTGATTTTAGTGTCACATACAACTGGGTTAAGCGTATATTCTGGGATCTTCTGTACGGGAAGATTAGATTTTATGCACATTAAGAAAATTTTTTTGATAATAATTCAATATTATGGTTGATATCAAGGGTAAGACAAGATATGTGAAAACAAGAATGGACTTGAAATAGTATTGCAAAAAGAGGACCTTAAAACTTTAGTAGACAAATGAAAGTAAATTAATAAAGCTCAAAACTATATATTGTCTTACACCAGATCAACGGAGGACAATATTTGAGTGGGTGAATTCTCTTAAGTTTCCCAATGGGTGTGTCAAATTTGAGCCATTTTTTTGAGTTGGAAATGGGTAAGGTATTTGACATGCAGAGTCATGACTCTCATATATTTTTGCAGTGCTTATTGCTTATTGCATTTCATGCGCTGTTGAAGTCGATGCTTGATCCCTTGATCGAAGTCAGTATATTATTCAAAGAGTTGTGTTCAGGGACATTAAATGTTGACTCTTTGAGACATCCTGTTGTGAGTATTCCAATATTATTATGTAAGTTTGAGCAGATATTTTCTTCTGGTTTCATAGACTTTATGGAGTATCTACCTATATATGTGTTATGAGGCTAACTAAGGTGCCCATTGCAGTACAGATGGATGTTTCCCTTCGAGTGGTATGTCTTCCCAATACAAATAATTGCGAGTTACATTTTATTTTATACTAAACTAGCACCATATTCAATGTAAAATATCTTTGTTGTTGATTTTTAAATAAAATCAATAAAATGGTTAATAATAAAACACATTATGAGGAATCAATCTGTGAAGCATATCTGTTGCAAGAGATGATAACTTTTTGCTCATATTATTTTGAGTAAGGTCATCAAAGAGGTCATATTGTAGGTGACATGACTTCACAGCCAGAACTATCTGTATATCAAATATCAGGTGACTCATCAGGGAGGCATGATATATGGTATCTAAGGATAAAGAGACTCGGCCAACTGCATTATACGTCCCAATGAACTGTAACGAAGTTCAAACATTTATACAGTAAGATTCAAGGTCTCCAAACTCAATACTATCATTTATTATTGAGAATGCTAGTTATATACTAACTAATTTGAAAATACAAATAACAATGTTGTAAGTAGATTATTTATCGACAGTTTGGAAATGAAAGATGAGTCTCTACAAGCAGGAAGGTCGTAGCAGAATTTTCAACATAATTCAACTTATACGTATGTAGAAACAACTCTTCAAATCACATCTACATAATATAATCATCACATTTAAAGTTACACTAATAGTACATCTCAATTTATTATAGGTTCACAGTACAACCAATAGAATCACAGATCAAATATTACTAGATCTTACCTGGTGACCTAATCGCAGTGTTACTACATGACAGATATTTGAAGTAAAATGTTATAGATTGATATGAATTTCTAGTGTGAAGGGAAGAAGACATATAATTGTGGTGTCACTTTTAAAGATAATGCCAAATCCAGGAAATATCAGCTACATTGTATACTTGTTCAACTGCCAGTGGTTCAATCCTGTTCCGAATCAATGAAACAAACGTTTTATAATATCACTGAAGTCAAATTGAACAGACGATATGCGAAGTTTGATCCATTTGTTCTGACATGCCAAACTACATATGTTTATTACCTTCAATACTCTGGTAGAGTAAGAAAAAAAGTTGATTGGGTTGTGGTTATGAAAAATAAATCAAGAAAACTATTGAGCTCCATAGTACTACAGAACAAATTCACCAAGAGAAATGTATGTTAGATTTATGTATTCAAGGCAGCACAAATGATGAAATGTTTGTGCTCGAAGATACCACGGTGATTGTTGAAGAGGTTGCTCATGGCATGAGAACGATGATGAAAGTGAAGAAGAATTTTTAGGTTCAACTGCGATGATGAGTTCCTCCAATGAAACTTAATAACAAATATATCTAATTTTAGATTAGTGGTTACTACTGCTCCTTTTTGTTTTTTTACTTTTGTTGTATTGAGGCATAACTCTTTACTCTCATTTATTTAGACATAGCTGCTACTTGTGTCTTACATTACCTGCATCGTTTATTTCTGCTTATGATTATTTTTCCTGCCAGTTCTAATTTTATTATTGGCATTGCTTTGTTTGCAGATGGTCACATGTGGTGCATGTGGCCGACACCTCAGAGACCCCATGTTCTGGGTACACTAAGACCACCTATCGTAGCAAGAAGAGGAGGTTGTCTACTTCTACCATAACTTCCACTACTGCTCCCCCCTGCTGTGCCACACTTCTTCTGGCACCTGCTCCCGCACCCGCTGGTGCCACCAATCCCAAGACACATGCCACTGCATCCACTATTGTCACCCCTCATGTGATACCTGCCGCTGCAACCCCGTCTTCTGTGACGCCTGCTGCTTCTGCACCCCTCCCCACCATCTGCTGCAACTGCCCCACCTACTGCCCCACCACTTCCAGCCCCACATGCTCCGACACCTCTTGAGCCTGGCCCGCAACTCCTGCCCTCCAATGGTACATTTACTATTAAAGGGGGACTCATAAGTTATTTTTAGCATTGTATTATATTTATCCTTTGTGCTATAAATTTTTTTGCAATTAATTTATTTCTTAAGCAGATTTATTCCCCTCAAGATGCCCGTCACCTACATCATAGAGATTATTAGGATCAGGTTTAATCGGCCTTATCTCTCATAGAAGCAGATCTCTATAGCTACTCGGGACTTGTGATTTAGGGAGTTTGAGGTACGATCATATAATTTAAATAAAATTTATATATTTGATTTAATTTTTATACTGACACGTGAATTATTTTTTACATTGCAAATGCCCTTCACCTGGCTCCCAAAGCACCACCTCATATTCATCGAATCTTTGAGATTTGGAGCAGATATGGCCTTGGAGACATGTTCATGATAGCCTGGTGGAGGGGATAACAACCTGCCTGGATCAGAGAGGAGCTCTGGGGTCAGTTGACCGCGACCTAAGCTGCTATCGATTATTATGACAGGAAGAGGCAAACGAGCCGGGCGAGCCGAGCGACGGATGGGGCTAGGGGAGCTGTGCTCCATATTAGTGGATCATTCCCCCATACAATGAACTACAAAGGGTAAAATGACTATAATACCCCAACGTTTTTTGATATTATCCCCCGCTAATTCAACGGTAATCTGATGATATATTTTTTTTCATCAGAGGTTTTCAGACACAAATTTCGACGCAAGTATAGCCTAAATAAATCCGACACTACGATGGTGCAAAAACCAATGCAAAATATTTGCGTCAAAGTATTTCGACGCAAAATTAACAAAATTAATATTACCGACCTCAGATTTACCCACGGAATAAATCAGACGTAAATTGGATTGAAATTCAAAGATAGACCTCAAATATCGTCAAATTTGCCTTCGATTTGTATCCAATTTGACCGACACAAATTCGCTTAATTCATATAGTGTATTTCGATCATCCTTCCCTTAAGGACTAAAGTCAACAAGTTTAGTCATTTCAATAATATCTAAATCATAAAAAGACAAGTTTTATAAGTTCAAATCATCTATAGATTTAATATCATCCTCATAAGGATTGGAATTAACAAAAAAAAAATTCTATAAATATTAAATTGTTAAATTTAAAATAAATTATAAAAATAAATATTTTTGAATGGCCAATCTCTGATGATGATCGAGTTAACTGAAAATACCAACCAAAAAAGTATTTTAAAATCAATTTTTAAAATCAAAATTTCAAAGTAACAGTCAAAATATTTAAGTTAAAATTAATGACTTAAAAGACTACATAAATGTCATCCACCCATCGTAACAACAATTTAAGGGTGACAAACTTTTGATTGACTTCAGCTCATAAAGAGTTAATATCACATCGTACCAATATATTCACTCAGAACAATTTCAAGCCCGTAAGGACGTGACAAGAGTCTTTTGTCTGCGTGATTTGACCAACAACTCTATAAAAAGTAGCAATTACGACCAAAACCCTATGACCGATTGATTTATTGCTAAATGACATCATTATATTAAAGTCACAGTCACAGCCTGCTTGTTCTCCAACGACTTTATATACTTTGAGTTGTGAATCATAAAGGTACATTTAATTGGCATAAACCATTCTATTAGCTAAAGTCCACTTAAATTTGTCCTCTTAGACGAATATCCGCCCAAGATCTAAAAGGGTTTCTTGAATGATGCAATCCAAGATTACTGATAAGGATCATTCAGTTCGATTGGATTGATTGCCTCGTCTAACTAAGTAGATTAGAGACCACGACAACTCGGGATGACAAAAGTATATGATCTTAATCGAGTTTGTCATTGTTTCCCCTACCATCCACTATAGGCAAAAGGTGATAAATTTTATAATTGAAACCCCAAGTCTTCAGCTACTGTATGTTTAATAATCATTGCTTAATGACTGACAATAATCGAAAGTGCTCTCCCATTATTGAGAAGGGTATTGAACCATAAGGAATTGCACCTATGGGAAACCACGAACTCAATATTAAAAAGTCATCACAAAATGAGAGCAGAACTTTTGGGTAGTGTTTTATCTTCAATTCAATCATCCTCTGAAAATTTGACCTTGAAAACCTAACAAAAAGCTCTCAACACTGGTGAGGGTCTAGCGGTGCAAGCCCGCAAAAAGATGTTTAACATTGGAAAAGAGGAATTCAATATAAATGGAAGAAAGGTAGAACATACTCAAGGTCAATCATGAGGAACTCTTACTGAAGCTCAGATAGCATGTAAGAAAAAAATTCTGAGTTGAGAGTTTGTCACATTTACTTCCATTAAGAAACATAACATAGGTGACGATATGCACACAGACATAAACATAAAAAACCTTAAAAGAAAGAAGAGTCAGTGCTGATATAGCAAAGCATGTGCTGACCTTTGAGGTAGAAAACTAGGAGCTCCCGAAACCATAAAATGCCGGCCATCATCATGAAACCATTGTAGGTTTGAAGGTTGCTGCTCGTTTGTCATATCATAGGGCAAGTACATGCCATTGTGAAACTATGGATAACAAAAAAACATCATTTGCCTAATGGAGTCAATAAAAGACAATAGCCGAATTTTTCTTATGTACTGAATAATTTGAAGCAGATATGAATATGAAAAGTAATGTACCTCGCCAACACAATCTAGTGGAATAAAGCGGTTGCCAAGGTACCTCTGTCGAGCAAAAGTGTGAATAATTGAGAACATCAAAATAAAACAAAATAATAAGGTGACATGTTATTCCTCATCAATACTTTGTAATTCATAAAGCACCCCCAATCTACTGTTTGAGTTTTATTAATAAACCATACATGAACTATATAAACTTCTGACAATCATCAGAATATATGATTTTTGCTCATCAATGAAAAACAAATAACCATGCAAATTGACACTTGGATTAAAATCTTGGTTTCGTGATGTCTTGGAGATTAGTACTCCACAAACCTAATCTTATGCTGTGACATGCCGGAACATATTATTATGGACATCTAATAGTTAGGGTTCCATAATGCAACTAGAATGATGGGTAGCGTATAAATAGAGAAAGATCAACTAGAATTCACAGATTAAAATAAATAAATAAACAAACTAAATAAGTTAAACTTTTTCAATAGATTTAAACAATAAATACAAAAACTATAAATCAAGTGATAATACAATAATCAAATATATCAATTAAAAAAAAAGCAAACATAGGCTTTCAGGCCACAGGAGGTGCGATGCTGCGGGGCAAGGGGCTTAGATTTGAGACAGTGGCGGGAGATGATGTGGCTGGCAAATTGTGAAGCAGCACCCAGTCCATGGTCATTGAAGCATGGGAGTGCATGAGGCTTAAGGCATAGGTGAGGTGGGATGACGAAAACATGCCTTGATGCCATATTATGGGGGAGCAAACTGGATGAATTTTTCTACTAAATAATGATATCTATTTATAGGATTACAAAATGAATATAATAGTAAGAAGAAAAAGAATATAAACATACATAATATTTAATTCAATCTTATGTACCAAATTAACACCTATAAGTTCCTATTTACTTAACCACTGCTCTTTGTTAACATCGATGAGTTGCGATCCGCTGCAACTTGCACGGACGTGTGAGCTGTTGCTGGTCTCTTTGTTGCAACCTCCTTGCCTCAACAATCAACACCATATTTGATGGGAAGTTAATGGTAGGGGGAAGAGAGTAAAGCTTTTTATATTATTTAAAAATTTGAGTGTTATATATAAGTAAATAACAACTTTAACATGTTAAATATGCAAATAAAAATTAATTAAGGGTTATCTATGTAAAACTCACTAAATATAATGAAAGGAGAATAAACATATATATTTTTTTGAAATTATACACTCAATAATTTAATTTCACATAATCAAAAGGCTCATACTTAAACCCTACAAAAAAAAAGTCATAAATATAGAACAACCCTTAAAAAAAATTCAGGTGAACCGAACAACAGGCTCACAGCAGTTAAACCCATAAATAGCAAAGCAACAAGAATTGGACCTTATGTACAGTCCTATTGGTAAAAAGGGAATAATGAAGAAGTCTAATATTTTATTTGTAAATAGGTTTTGAACAATTGTTTCTTGACTTTGTAGAGCCCTAACCCTAGAAGCCGTTGTTGGAGCTTGAGGGTCGGGATCGATGTGCAGAGATCTGGAACTCCAACTTTCCTCTCCTTCGGTTTCGTCCTCGCATTAGAGTGGCAATTAGAGCTAATTGGGACGACAACAAGGGGATTGCGGGATCGCGACATTACAGTTGTGATTAGAGATATCTTGGGCGGCAGCAAGGGGATCGTGGCAGAACGCTCGTGATACAATCACGCTAACTGGGAAGGCAACTATGGGATTGCAAGCTCGTGATACAGGCGTGACTATAGATGGTTAACCCTCACGATACAGTCGCACTCAGGCGTGCAAACTGACGACGCCTGTTGGGTCACAATAGAATGGTTCGAGCGGCTCTGCAGGGCTGGGGTGAGGCGAGCGTGAAACAAGAGCAGTTGAGGAGAAAATTTTGGTTCCACGTGCGTGAGAGGACCACGAAGACTAATGAATGGTTAAATCAAGGATGTTATGAGATGTGGATAGTGCGAGAAGTAAAGATTTGGAGCTTTTGAGGAATATAGTGATCAGGTTAAAATAGGGAGCTCGTGGCTTGATGGAAGCTTCTATCTCATCATGTGCTCTGACACAGGTGAAAATAGATCTCTCTCCCAGGGACCTAAAACTTATGGACCGGTCACATAGTAGAGGTGGTCCCATCGAATCGAGGTTGTTCTAGTAGGGAAGAGATTAGATGGATTCTGATGGGAGTCAAGCCAAAGGGTGACGGTGCTGAGAAATTGGAGGGTCACACATGCCTTGTTCTACACCTAACTATTCAACTCGATGATTCCATCGATTGTCTCATCATTAGATGACATTCAAAGCGTGAGCGTCATCTGGGTGAAGCTGAAGAACATCTATGCTGTAGTTGAGAACCACATGCGGGTTTTCCAAATTCAACGTGAGATAGAAGCAGTGGTTCAGAGTGATACATCAATTCAGGAGTACTCCATAGAGCTGGAGCGGTTGTGACAAATCTTGATAATATCTCACCAAAATCAAGCTGTGGCGATCTGGAGTGCAAGATAGAAGAGATCTTTGTATATATGAGAATTATGCACTTTCTGGCCCTTTCGAACCCGGCGTTTGATCAAAGGAGATTTATCTTCTAGCTCAGGTGACTGTGCCTTCACTGGACGAGATCATAATTGCGATGATACAGGAGCAGAGTTGCATGAAGCTACACTCTGAGCCAAGTGAACTTCTGAGTGCACGATCAACTTCAACTATCTTGAGTTCAAGTATGGTGGGTGTTAAGGGGGAGCCTCGCAAGTGCTACAACTGTAGTGAAGTTGGGCATATGAGCAAGACCTATTCTAGGTTGCCGATGGTACAACATAACCTATAAATGGTAAGGGTACAGTGAAAGATACCAATTATATGAATTTGTCCAATGTTTTGCATGTTCCTTCTTTCCAGTGAACATTTTGTCAATTAGTGTCATTATTCTTCAACTAAAATATGTTTTTTTTTTATAATCCTAAGGGAATCTTCCAAGGGAAAGCGGCGGGGAAAGCGACGGTCCAAACACTTAAGACTGGAACTTGACATAATGAACTCTGGTAATTGGATCGAGAAGGGATGGACTCAGCTTTGACATCCATGATAAAGTGTTGGAGTAGGAGAATTTAGGAGTATGGAGGATAAGTTGTTGCTACATTAAAGCTGCATGAGACACTCTTATTTTAGTTTATTGAGTCAGTTGTATTATTCTTTGTATGAAAAGACAAATAAACAAAAGCTAATTTGTGATGCTTGTGAGTTTAGTAAGGTATTAGGAGCTTGTTATTTTGACCCCCAATTAATGAACTAAGGTAAAAAGG